ACCCACACACACACACACATACATCATCATCATATATATACCGTCAGCCTTGTTCATCATCGATAAATCCTATTGACTCATCACACATGTATATAATTGAAACATAGTTAAACTAATTTAGATGGACGGTATTTAGCAATGAATAAAGGAAATTGGGATTGCTTTAAATGGTTGTGGTTGGTAATATATTTTCAAATGCAGTTAGTTACATAACAGCTTTTGATTATGAAGTATTTCGGTGGGTTATTATATTATTATTGTTTCCTTTAATTCCTAGAGGAACATAAGGCTTCAGCCGTGCGTCTCCATTGCGTTCGGTTCTCTGCTAGAGTCTTCACCTGGCTCGAAGTCTGCCCACACGTTTTCATCTCTTCACATGACCTCATCCAAGTCACCCTTGCACTGACAACCAACTCGCCGCTTCCCTTTCGGGTTCCACTCGAGCAACGGTTTGTCTAGTGATGTCACTTGATGGTTTCCTCAGATTATGGCCAATCCATCTGCATTTCTTCCTGCCTATTTGTTTCACAATCGGTTCCTGGTTGGTTCGCTCCCAAAGATCTCTGTTGCTGATCTTTTCTGGCCGGCCATCTGATCTTGAGTATTGAGCGGAGGCAACTGTTAATGAAGGTCTGTAGTTTGTTTGAGATGTTCTTTATGATGCACCAAGTCTCTGATCCGTGTGGGGTAGCACTGACTTCACATTGGAGTTGAAGATCCGGATCTTATTTTTGATGTTGAGTACTGTTGACCTCCACACAGACTTGAGGGTAATGAAAGCTTTTCTTGCTTTCCCGATCCTCTCTGCTTTGATATCCTCATCAGTTCCGTCCGCCTTTAGTTTGAAACGATGCTTCCAAGGTAGGTAAAAGAGGTTGTGTCTTTCAGGTCCCTTCCATTTATGCTGACTGTTGTCTGTTGTTGTTGCTGCTGTTGGTGGTGTAGTAAACCACTTACTCCACCAAAATACTACTTCTTGTGTTGTGCAACGGGCCTCAGTTATTTATTTATTTTTAAGTCAATACTGATTTTCCCGTTGACTGACTGGATCGTGTCCTGGATTCCACTGTCCAGTCACTAGCCATCAAATTACTTCAAGTTTATCTTCAGATATCGTCAAAGCGTCTGTATTAGGTGGCCGACATTGTTAACATAGGTCGAACATTTCGGTCTACTGGATAAACGGGAAAACTAAAATTAAACTTAAAAGCAAAAATAATAGCTTTTTACAGTTATGCTTACTGCACTACATGAGTGTAATTATTTTTAAAACCGAACTGTTTCCCGTTATATTCATATTCTTCTCTTTGAAATTATATGAGGATGGAATAAGCGAAAGCCGGAAGTGAGAAAATAAGGGGAACATATTGTCAACGTGTATGGTAGTAAACTTGATATATGTTATGCCAACACAACAAGAAAGGAAATAGTGGAAAGAAGGATGATTAAGCTGAAGTTATATATATATATATATATATATATATATACATATATATGGTATAAGGTTTCTAAGTATTGATTTTGGTTGTTACAGCTAAAATCTACTTATTATTGGTTAAATAGAGAATGGTGTCATGCGTTGATTTCTGCTACATTAGCTATTTCTTGACTCCTCACTGTGGTTAGACACACTATACTCACTAATTCATCAAGTTGTCTTATCCTTAGTCTCCATGTAGATAGCACGTCACCAGCTCACCAAGAGCCCCAGGTAAATTTCTCATATATATGTATACTTAACTTCTTTTCATCTAACATAGAACTGAGGCATATCTTTGCCGAAGCTCCAGTTTATATTTTGAAAGTGAGAAATACACTTCAAACATTTCCAAATATTAACTGAAATTGTGTTTACATAATGTTTCATATGTCTCGACTTTATATATCTTCTCAACATATACTCATACTGATGAAAATATGAATACTTGTGGAATTAATCAATACCACTTCATATCATTAAAGTGGATATCTCAGCTGGACAACCTTTTATAACTTACCCTCCTTACCTGACATCTACACATAACCTTAATATTACTCAGTATATTATACCACTTAACATGCGATACAGAAATCAAACATCAGTGGTCAAAGACAACTAGCCTTTTCAGTGGAAGGTATGAGAAGGCTAGCTGTCTTTAACCAGAGACGTTTGGGTTCTATCTCCCTTATTAAGTAGTATAATATGGTGAGTAATATTAAGATTATGCGTAGAATGTTAGGTAAGGAAAGGAGGTCAGTTGGAAAGGGGGTAAAGGTAAGTCGACTGAAATGGCTAGGACGCATGTTGCTCACGCCAAGGCATTGCCTTCCTCAACAGGCGATGTTAGCCGACATAGGACTATATTGGGAAGGAGTTAGGGGTGGTCAAACCAATTGTTTTGAGCTACGTAGGGAGGTGTAGACTGTGTATAGTTGGGGTCCTCGAAATTCTAAAAACCAATGGCTTGAGACAACTAGTGATATGACTGAAAATCGTTCTCAGTAGCGCAGATGCATTCATACTTTGTAGTCTCCCATATTCATTGAAACCTAATGTTTTTCCGTGTTACTGTTCTTTCTCTCTCTCACACGCACTGTAATACCTCCGAATTCCTTTTGTTTATCTGTGTGTGCTACATGGATTGTGGCTACCTGAAATTGCTGCCCTTCTGTCTTAAGTTCTATGTTGAAATTCAGTCAGCCAGACAACATTTGATTATGAAACACTTTATTCTATGCTCTGCAAAAATTACGATTACTGCAGCAAGAATCCTTCTATGGAGTAATATGCACACCAAGTAAAAGTTTCAGAAAAACACAAAATCACAGGATATACATATTGCATCATATTTCCCCTGAGTAATTTTCTTTTACACTAAACATGAGTATATTAGATAATGAGTAATTTGACTCACGTCTATACTCGTACCAAATGGAGCTACAATGACTTACCTACTCTGTTATAGGTTGTTATGTTTCTCGTATAAGTTAAAATAAAAATTAGATAACTTATTCACTGCAATACTCCGTCAATTTTTTTGATTAGTCAGTCATCTTTCACCTGGCAATAGCATATCCATAAGCCAAAGTCATCTATATATATAAATATATATATATTTTTTTATTCCTTCACGTTCCCAGTGGAACATAGGGCTTCAAGCTAGTGGCTTGAAGTTTCTGTAGCAGTGTTTATTTTACGGGATGGGGTTGCTAGCCTCATGCCCAACCTTTCCTCTTCACCAGCATTATTTCTGCCTTAGCGAGGTAAAGGAGTGCGTCGGCCGGGGATCGAACCCCGGTCCATGTGCATGGTCGGCGAGCATCCTAACCACTGTGCCACCGACGCACATATATATATATATATATATATATAAATATGTATATATGTAGGCGTTTATGATAACATAGGCGTTTACTTTTTCACTTAGTTCTTTCTGTTCACCTTTCATATTTATTAATGTATACAGGGTGTAATAATTATTATACTATAGAATAGGAAATTTTTGGCAAGCTTTATGCTTCTGTGTAATGACTGATTGTTTTTGATTGGACACTAGTCAGTCAGGAGATCAGTCATGAGCCTGAATAGCTCAGTAGTAGCGTCTCTGACTGCAGCACTGGCTGACGCAGGTACAAATCTCAGAAGGGATGTGAGTTCCTTCAAGATTGAAGATACGCCTTTCTGATTGGTGAATGTCAACTAACACGAAACCTAGATCGAAGGCTTCCTGTCGATTGCCTTCAACCACCTTATACCAATGATGAATTGTTTTGAAATACATCAAGTTCCTTCTTTGTTTAGACACTTTTCTCAATTCAATCTAAAGTGTTCATTGTTGTGGTCTTCTCTAAACTTCTCATCTTTTGAAAGAAGTTAACCCCTAGTTAATAGGAGTCGATATTTGGTTTTTATTAATTCTTATTGGTCAATTTATTGCTCCTTATTATTGGACTTCTGTTGATACAAATTCAAACGTATTATCATGTTTTCTCGCTGTTGTTTTGTATTAGAAACCCTGACGCATAAATTATGACTCACAGCTTAAGTCACAGAAACCATGCCTATCGAGTGTACTATACTGTTTCAAGCTACAGGAGATAGCTATTAAAAATACTAAGTGCATTACTATCATTTGTTTTATAGTATGTAAAACAAAATCACCTTAAATAATGTTATTCAGTGAGTCAATGGATTTATGTTGACCGGGCGTAACTAGTGTCATTTGTCTAATGCTTGGTAGTGCTGACTATCATCCAGATTGCAATGTAGTCACCAGTCTTGGAGACTCACCATCTCGGTGTATTGGAGGTGATCAGCAGGATTTACATGGGTTCTTATTCTGTGTTATACTTATCCATAGTCATTATTGTCTCTCTCTCTCTCTCTCATTCCTTTGCGTTCCGAGTGGATTTTAGAGCTTCAAGCTTTGAAATCTCAGTATCGCTTGTGTTGTTTTTTCCACGGAATGAGATGGCTAGCCTCACACGCAATCCCCCAACCTCCCACTCCTTCTGGCTTACTTTCAGCTAGGCGGAGCTTTTGAGTGTGTCGGCCGGGATTTGAACCCCGGATCATGTGCATAACCGGCAAGTATGCTACACCTGAATCACCGACTCACCAAAGGAGACTACTCATCATACTCGTCAGATAGCACTAAACACAAATCGGACAATACATCTCCCAGGTGTCTTATTTCATACAGATCACCTGCATTTCTACTGTTCTAATTAATTTCAATGCAAGAATCGCTTACATTATCTAAAATTCAATCGAAAGTTATGCATTATTTTATCAGAAAATGTCAAACAAAACACTTTTTTCCCCTTTATTTAGTTTGGTATTATCCCTGTAATGATTATATACACTAACTGAAATTTTAAATTTATTTTATTTTTTATTTTGTCCTAAAGAATTTCATTTGGTGACATTTTCAATTCCAAGGTTGCTTTTCTTCCCCCATCAGTCTTCTTGTTCAACTTTTATGCTAATCCTTTCCTTTATTATTGTTATTTTTTCTTAGTGTATCTGAATATTCTGCAGAAAATATGATGGATGCCTACAATTTGGCAATATGCTTCGGTCCAACTTTAATGCCTGTACCCAGTGAATACAATCAAGTACATTATCAACCAAGTGTAATTGATTTGATTAAAACCTTTATTATACATCATTCAGTTATATTTGATCCCATGCTACCTGGACCGGTGTATAATAAACAGAAGAGAAAGAAAGATATGCATAAATCTGTGACAAGTTTAGATTCACACCGACTGTCACTTTCATCAAGTAATGTTGTAGAAATTAGTTCAGATAAGAAGAAGAACTACAACAAAGAAACTGATGATCAGGATCATGATTTATTAAGATGTTCATCGGTGAAAAAGAATTCTCGTATTATGTCTAGAACACCGATAGAGTCTGCTGTGAAACGTCAGTCATCAACACGTGTAGATAGTGTACATGAGAAGGGAATACCATCTAAGGAATGCATTAAATCATCAAGTGTTGGGTATGTTTATTGTATTTATCACCAAGAAATGTTTTTATGATTATTGTTATTGTGATGTGGTTGCGTTTTCTGAGACGGATGGTGTAATTGTGAAGCTTTCATTGTCCCACTAGACAACATCTTCAGCGCGAACTTCATCAATATGAAGTGAATTTATTTGAATTCTCCATGATTGATAATGTAATTGTATCTTTTTACAACCATTGTCGTTATTGGTTATTAATTTGCACCAGTACTGCCTTATTCTTTATTAATTGGGAAATTCCGTCTATAATAATGTGTCTGTTAATCACTGATTCATGTAAGTACTAAGCTTCTAACAGTCTCCTACCACTTTTGGTATCTCCACGGTTTAAAATTTCCACATTTTCCCAGTCAAATAGGTGTTCATAGTTGTCTGTATTTATTGATATGAAAGAGTAGATGTTGTGTCTTTCGACAGCTAGTTTATGTTCCTCTACTCAAAGTCGAAGGTGATGCCTACTTTGATCAATATTGTGTGTATCACAGTTCATGCAGTTTATTTTGTAGATGGTGTTAATCTTGTCCTCTTTAGCTGTTCGGTCTTTTTGTCTGTACAGTATTGAATGAAGTAGTTTGTGCGCTTTACTTATTTCTAATGCTTCAAGTAATTTTTGAAATATTCCTTATATATTATTATTATTTCCTTGGGTTCCCAGTGGGACATAGGGCTTCAACAGCACATTTCCACTTTGTTCTATTCTCTGTCGTCCGTCCTCTTCAGCTGGGTCCACTATTGACCATAATTTCTCACCTCCTCCAACTCGCACGATCTCCTCCACGTCACCCTCGCACTGACGACCCACTCGTCGTTTCCCATTGAGGTTTCACTCAAGCGATGGTCTGCATTGCTCGCGATGTCATTCAATGGCCTCCTCAGTGGCGTATACCCCATCCATCTCCATTTTCTCCTACATATTTGTTGGACGATAGGTTCATGCTTGGATTGTTGCCAGCCAGAGATTCTTGTTGCTAATTCTTCTTGACCGGCTGGCCATTTAATCTTCACTATTGAGCCAGCCAGTGACGAGGACAGTTGTTGATAAAAGTCTGCAGTGTCCTGTTAGAAATACTTTTCGTGACGATGCATCAAGTTTCAAACCCATATAAAAGCACCGATTGATTTAATATTTGTGTTGAAAATCCGAATCTTATTCTTTGTGCTGGCTGAATACAGAAGATTTCCAAACTGGTTTCAGGTTGATAAAGCTGTATCTTGCCTTTCTGATTCTGGCCTGCTATGACATCATCCATGCCATCTATCTGTGGTTGAAATGATGCTACCTAGATAAGTGAAGGAAGTAACCTTTGTCAATTATCTCCTGTTCATGGTGATTGGTGGTGGTTGGTTATGTTCATCACCTCCATCTTCTCCTTGTTTACCTGGAGTCCTGTATTTCTAGTATTTTTATTGTGCGTTGAAGTTTCTGTAGCAGTTTACACAGACTAATACATATATGGTAGGATGGATTTTCTTGTGGTTTCCGAGGATGGTTTCTTGCTGGTAGTTTGATTTGGGTTTAGAATTTTTTTAAGTGAAATGGTAAGATTTCGTAGTCTTCTTTAGGACAGTTAGTCGATATTTGTATTCTTCTTAGGACTGGAGTGCTGCAGTTCACCTTAGCTCCTTTGAATAATGTTTGTACGCAGTTCCTTTTGTGTGCTGTTCGACAATTATTGTTGTTATTCAAGTATTGGTTTGTAGGGATTGGGTTGATTGGTTACAGGATTTCATCATGAGCTGACATTGGTTAGAGAACCATTGGAAAGCCTGGGAAGAATGGACAGCTGTTTCGCCCTAGTTTTGGGATATGCAGTATGCACCCACCGGGGTTCGAACCCAGGACCTTCTGGTTACAAGGCGAGCTCTTAGACCATTAAGCCACTGGGACCCGATCCAATGGTCCATGAATTCTAACTTCTGCCAATTCACGATATAGCGCGACCACTAGCCAGTGTCTTCGGCGAGTATTTGTCCTCACACCCTACCTGCTGCACCCTACTGGTCACAACTTCTCACTAGAACCCAGGTAACTACCTACCTGAATAAGGCCACTCGCTAGTGAACATTTAATTGATATTCAAGTATTGGGTTGTAGGGGTTTGATTGATTGGTTACAGGATTCCGTCATGATCTGATATCGGTTAGAGAACCATTGGAAAACCTGGGAGTGCTGGACAGCTGTTTCGTCCTAGTTCATGGGTCATTGGATCGGGTCCCAGTGGCTCAATGGTCTACGAGCTCGCTAGCCTTGTAACCAGAAGTTCATGGGTTCGAACCCCGGTGGGTGCGTCTCTTAAACTAGGACGAAACAGCTGTCCAGTACTTCCGGGTTTTTCAATGGTTCTCTAACCAATGTCAGCTCATGATGAAATCCTGTAACCAATTATTGTTGTATTTGATAGCGCCAGCACATCACGAAAACGCTTTAACTATCTATTATGCTTAAAGATAATTTTATTTCAAAGTTTGTATTTGTCAAAAATTCAGTGTATGCAGGAAAACATTTATTTATTTATATTCAAAGCAAACTTGGCCATCGATGCACCGTGCATAAAACTCCGATATAAAACCGGGTTAGAGTAATATATTTCAATTCGTTGTATCCTCCTAGTAGCCATAAAAAAAAAGCTTAAACCTGTTTTATGTGTTCAGAAATTATTTGTTATTATTTTGAACTTTAGTAAGAATATTTCACCCCGCCCCCCGCTTTTCTGTCTTACTTCATTCCCCTACCTTTTATCTGTGATATTGACCGCCTAAACATTTTGATCTATATTCATTCAATTTTGACCTTTTAAATACTCTGTTAACTTTTATTTACATATGTGTGTATGATAAGGAAGTATATGTGATTAGAATGTCCGAAATGTGTTGCGCAAGTACAGTACACATACTGCAGCTGAATAACGTCTTCGTATTTGTTTTATCAAGACAGCTGATTTGCTTTGCTTTGCTTCACTCTGTCAATTGGATACAGAGTGCTTAAGATCAATCTATTGTTCAAGAATGCTATACAGCTAATTGATTACTTGGTTCACTGACTTAGTTACATATATCGTTGTTAAATGTTGGGCAGCTAGTGTTTTGTTTTTGCAGAATTAAACGGTAATGGCAGCACTCTTCAACTTTAGTGTACTATATTGAAATCTAAGCAAATATGGAAATGGAATAGAATTGTAGATTAGGTTGTAAATTATGTACATTATTATGACAAATGGTTACCAAAATGTTCTGTGTGGTTTGTCATTAATGTGTTACCACAACATTATTTATATGCCATGGTAATCATGAGTTAAAATCGCTTTGGATTGAGTGGTTAGCTTAGTTTATTGTATAGCACATATCCTTTAAGAATTGTAAAAGGATGTGTGCTGATGTGGTGAGGTAATATGCCTCTGTTGTGTCTAAATTAGCTATATTTATTTGTTTATTTCACTTCCCTGCTTTCCGAGTGGAACATAAGGCATCAAGCTTCTTTGAAGTCTCAGTAGTGGTGTTACTGACTTTAAAGGATGTAATTGTGCCACTCTTTCCTCTTTACCGAATTTACTACCGGCTAAGCGAGTTTTAGACGTAGAGATCAGGTCTTGGTAAGTCCTTTTCACTGTCTTCACGCTGCAGAGGCGTTCCTCATAAAAGTGATAGGGTGAATGTGAAAGTCTGGCGCTTACAACCGGACTTATGAAAATGCTGGTCTACCTAGAGGAGTTGGAAAACCCTTATTCAAAACCAGTGGACTCCAGAATCCGGATGTGAGGGAAAGCGTGTGAACCTGTTCTGGTCACTAGTAATCATATGAACGCAGCTCTAAACGCTGCTCTACTACTTTGTGGGTCAGGATTCAAGTTGTCAAAGACTCGATGAGTGATCCCTTAAGACAACTATCTGCTTTGATCCGGGCCTCCACACTGTATCCCATTTCTCGCACAAACTATGCGGTTTTGTGTGACGCTTCTCTTGGTGCCCATAGTGTATCAATTTTGTGTTGAAATAGCAATAATAATAATTATTATTGTTTCCTTTAGTTCCTAGAGTAACATAGGGCTTCAGCCTCACGTCTCCATTGCGTTCAGTTCTCTGACAACATTTTCACTTGACTCCACGTCTGCCCACAGGCTTTCATGTCCTCTTCACGTGACCTCCTCCATGTCACTCTTGCACTTAGTGCCAACTCGCCACTTCCCATTCGCATTCCACTCGAGATCCTGTCTTGTGATGTCACTTGGTGGTTTCTTCAGAGTATGGCCAGTCCACCTCCATTTCTTCCTGCATATTTGTTTCACAATCGGTTCCTGCTGGGTTGGTTCGTTGATTACTAGAGATCCTTGTTGCTGATCTTTCCTGGCCGGCCATCTGATCTTGAGTATTGAGCGAAGACAGCTGTTGATGAAGGTCTGTAGTTTGTTTGAGGTGCTCTTAATGACTCGCCAAATCTCTGATCCGTATAGTAAGTAGCACTGACTTCACATAGGAGTTGAAAATCCGGATCTGATTTTTCATGCTGATTGCTGAGTGTTGATCTCCACACAGACTTGAAAGTAATGAAAGCTTGCTTAGTTTTCCCAATCGTCCCTTTTATATCCTGATCAGTTCCGTCAGCTTGTAGTTGAAATGATGCTTCCCAGATCGGTAGGTGAAGGAGGTTGCTTCTTTCAGACTCCTCCCATTTATGCTGGCTGATTCTTGTCTGTTTTCCTATTCACTGTCTTCGCCCTGCAGGGGCGTTCCTCACAAAAGTGAAAGGATGAATGTGAAAGTCTGGCGCAATAATAAGGCTCGAAATCGAACCCTCACCATTTACGTGACTGGCGAGCACTCTATAATATGAAATCACTGACTCATGTATCTGTATTTGTAGAAAGGTGTAATTCTATGTCAAACATATCATTTGTGATATGTTTCTCCTTAATATACTATAATCTACTTACTATAACTTAGATAATTTAGCCTTCCTTTGAAATCACCTTACTCTTATATATATTTTTTTGATTAACAAAATCTAGCGATCTTATCGATAATGAGACATCGTCCAAACCAGCCTCTGAGGTCATTGATGAAGGTGAGCCTGTTGGCGATGATGACTACATATTCACTGAAGATACACAGTCTATATCCGATAGTGAAGGTATGTTATTATAGTGTCTGTATTTATATATACATGTATAGGTACATTTTTTGGCCTCATCAACAAGTAATCATAACTATTCATGCATTCATTCATTCATTCATGTATTACGTAAACCTGTATTTAATTAATTTAGGCCACATTGACGTCATTAGGATCTATACATGTATATAAGGTTTTTATTCCACAAGATTAGTATTGCTATTAGTGTGTGTGTGTATGTGTGTGCGTGTGTACCAATTCGATTTCTGCCTTCAAGGTCACTTAAGTCATATTACTTTATGCATGCAGGGCATCATTATCACATGAAAGGCCTAATATTTATTTTATACATACGGGAAAGAGAAATTCTACTCTGTAATATTATCGTTTCATTCTTAAAAAAAATTAAATATATTAGCTATAAATGTATATAGATAAACAATACTTTTTGATATACAGGTGGAATATGTACATATATATATGTTGTGCAATAAAAAAAGAGAAGTCATTCTACCATCTGATATATGTATACATGTTCACTTTAATATGACTGTTTACTAGATTAGAAAATCATTTTGGAACTATACGCACATATATATATATATATAATTTGTATCAGTAGCCCTTAATAATAATACGAAGGTAACTTTCACATTTTTAGATATTCATAAGCAGCTGATGCTTAGGTAGGTAGGTAGGTAAGTAGGTATATAGAGGAAGCATCAGGTAGATCTGTGTTGTTACCTTATGATATTAGACTGTATATATATATATGCTGGTTTTCAGAAATAGCTGGCGGTCAAACGAAAAACATGGTACCAGTCAATGAAATCAACAACAGTTTAGTCTAAGCCACGTAGTAAGGTGTAGACTTCATGGTTGAGGTCCTCGGGACTGTAAAAACCCAATGGTTGGAAACAATTGGTGACATGGCTCAAAATCGTTCTCAAAATTGCGGTCACAGATGCATCCACTCCTTGTGACTCATGATTTCCAGTGAAACTTTTGTTCTTCGTTATTACTATTCCTTTGTCTCACACCTCTGTTTACTGACTATATTATGCATTTCTCTTACTTTCTTCTCTTGCTTTGTGTGCTACATGAAGGGAGTGTGGCTACTTGAACTGCCGCACATATGTGCAAAGTTCTATGTCAAAAATAGATAAACAGACAGACAGAAATAGCTCAGGGAGGGAGTCAGCAATCATAATTCATGCGTTAACGCATAATCACACACAATGCGGGTGGGACAGACAGAGCTACAGTTCTTAAAAGTAATATAGGTAGATAGGTAGGTAGGTAGGTAGGTAGGTGGGTGAGTGGGTGGGTGGGTGAGTGAGTGAGTGAGGTTGATCACTGAATCTCACTGTGTTCATCTAGTCTACACCTGGCGCCTCTCATAAGAATGACTCAACACTGATATATGAGATGTGGTGGAAAATATTACTGTCGACAAAATCAAAGTATAAGAAATAATAGAATTTTATATATAAACAAAGTTTGGAAATTATGTTTATAAGCAAGGTGTGATTAGTAAGTAATACTGTGTCAGTGTGTGCTTTGTTCAATAAAATTATTGCATAATGAAAGTGTATATATATCATTAATCAAATTCACACTTTACAATCCATACACTTCGAGGGGTGGAAGTACACCGTACTTTGTTTTGGAAACAATAGTATTCAGATCACAGTGTATAATTTTCTTGATACCATAAATGGTAATCAATAACGCAGCGATATTTGCATAAAACTATATATACTACTGATTGACTGAGATGAGTAGTCACACACCATTGATATCAGCCAGCAGTGCTTGCTAGCCAGATTGAGGTGATCTAAACACCAGACCAGCCATTTCGCTCGTTTGGGGCCGAACTAACCAACGGCGTATCCGGTTTGACTCAGTTGAGAGAGCTGAATAAGTTGAAATCACCGGATATCTGATCAGCTGCTAGTTGATTTGGGGGGTATGCAACTACTCATCTCAATCAATCAGTAGTATATAGTTTTGTGAAAGTATTTGTCGTCGGTGATATTAAATGATTGGAGGCAATCGGCCACAGGAAGCCTTGCTTGACCTAGGTTCCGTGCTAGTTAGCATTCACCAGTCAGTCAGGAACCTTGAAGGAAATCATGTCCCTTCTGAGATTCGAACCCGCGTCATCCAGTGCTGCAGTAAGACTGTCATCTAGCACGAAACCTAGGTCAAGCAAGGCTTCCTGGGGCTGATTGCCTCCAACCATCTAATGTCATCAAATCACAATGTGCACCGTGATGGCGAGCTACCTAGAATGGTGGCCACATTGCAAACCTGACTGACTGATAGAATTCAGTCTGCACCAAAGAATGGACTAGACACATCACACTAGTTACTAGTGTCCAATCAAATATACACATATATCGTCGGGTTTATTGATCACTGATAGCTTTTAATATTTTTAATTCCTTTACGTTCCCAGTAGAATATAGGGCTTCAAGCTAAAGCTTTGAAGTTTCGGTAGCAGTGGTATTTATTTTTACGGGATGGGGTTGCTAGCCTCATGCCCAACCTTCCCTCTTTGCCAGTTTTATTACTAGCTTAGCGAGTACGTGGGAGGCTGGCGATCGAACCCCAAACCACCTGCTCCTTTTATGAAGTTGAATAATGTGCCTCGTTGGCGAAAAAAATTAGATTCAATGATCTAATCTGAGATGGCGAAGTAGTGCTTATTGCTACATTTAAATGTTGTAATTATTACCTGGTTCTAAACGTATATAGTTACATGGTGGATACTGTTTTTCTTCCACATGAGGTTGCATAATTTCTCAATGCAAGTTCTACTTCCATTGGTTTATGTTTCTTTTGAGTGCTAATAATAATAACAATAAAATTGTCATACATTGATGTTTTTTTTGTCCTTGAATAGATTCTGAACCAGCTTATACATTAGCTGTAGCTCGTGCTGATTTCACTGGCTCTAGTGAACGTGAATTATCATTTCGTCAAGGTGATGAAATCTATCTCTATCGTCAATTAAGTCAACATTGGTGGGAAGGACAATTAGCATCAGATAGTCAGGGTACACGTGGTCTTATTCCACATTTATATGTTGTACCAAAAGCAGCTTTATTACATCTTGCAGCAGTAGCAGCAGCAGCGGGAACATCAACAACTGATAATGCTGGAGATAATCCACTCTTAGATGAAATCAATACAGAAATTTCTAAACAAACTGATAGTGGAAGTTTAAGTAACTTGGATAATGTTAATGATGATGATGATGAAGGTGATGATGATAATAATGAGGATGTGGATAACAAAAGTGTACCAGATAATGGAAGTATGCTTAGTTGGAATTGTGCCTCGGAAAGTTCAAATGATCAAATTCTTGCTGATACTGGTGATAATACTGACAATAACAATGTTAATAACAGTAAAGTACAACGTTTATCAGAGTCTGAGAGTGCAGTTGCTATTACCAACCAATCAAATCAACAAGAGACAACAGATATGTCGAAAACTAACAGTGAAAAAACTTCAGAGAAAGGTAAAATGAATTTTCTCAATGAATTAGATTATCATTTAATTTATTATTTTTTTGCAATCACTTTAGAGTGTGTTCTGTAGTCCTTACTTGCACAGATCGATGTATCCTCTCTAAATACGTGTGATCACATATACAATATAAATCGGTTAACACAGTTGGATGTGTCAGTTAATAAGGACGATCTGTCTGCAGGGAGCCAACCTGGACGGGATAGTATCTAGATTATCATACTTTCTGTCTACTCTAATATATAAAAAGGCGTTAGTTGAATGCTTGTTCAGTTATATTCAACATATGTGTACAGAGGGTATCATTGAAGAAGAAATATATAACCCCACTAGTATATTATTACATGACAACTATCCTCTGAAATTCATTAAAAACACTAAAGAACTGTCAAACAAACGGCTACACCGCTCCAATCACCTCTCAAAAAGGATGTTTAGGTATATATTATATCCTTACCGTTCAGACGTGATCATCAAAGTCCTGATCACTCAGAAGGGGAAGTTAGCAGAACCCATTTTCATAGAGAATACGAGATTTATGTTGTCCTTTAAACTCTAACAGCATCAGAAGGATAGTGTCACATTCCACTGTATTAACCGATTTTATGTAATTGTTAAGGCTGTAGGGGTTAATGAATGAAAAAGATATAACGGAGCTGAAATGAAGATAATTCATTTTGCATAGCTCATCATGGTTCTCATTGTTAAAAGGTTCTTGAAACACACTTAAATTATTAGTGTTCAGTCATATTTGAATTGGTTTCGTTAGCACAATTGTATACGAGAATCATGTTGTGGCGTGTGCTACTGATAAGATTTATCAGTAGTATATATGAGGAGATGTTCATCGGTATAAAAACATCAAATAGTAGGGAGACAGATTTAATGTCAGAGAAAGCAAATAATACAGCGTTGCGGAGATACATGGGAGACGTGAAAGGAACACAATGAAACACAGTGGGAAAGAAGGGTAGAAGTAGCACAACACGGAAGATCATCTGTGCAAATGGTGCGTTGAAGATCAGGTGTAGATAATTTGGCAATTTAGAGATACCAAATCCCAAATAAAAATTCATTTACTAAGTCTCTCATCGTCTACCAATACAGTGTGCCAAGTATATCTGATATTATCTGTAGAATAAAGCTCATAAAACTGTACGCTTGTACTTTACTTGTTTAAAGAGTGAAGGGTTTAATGTGACTGTAGCTTAGTGCATAATTCCATGAATGAAATTCTTTAATTTATATTCGTTTAAACACAGGTCACTTACATTTTTAGAAAGTGAAATCTGTATTTCCATTAGGACTTAATCAGAATATAAGAATAAAAAAACTTGTGCACTGTGGTAGAGTGTAATTCCATTATGGGTAAATTTTGTTTTGATAAAGTCTCACAGTGTTATACAGTAATGTTTACTGATGACGTTTTGGGCACAATTTATTGCTCATAATTACATCAAGGTCGGTGCGTCGGTGGTTCAGCAGTTAGGACGCTCGCCGACCATGCACATGGTCCGGGGTTCGATCCCCGGCCGACGCACTCCTTTACGTCGCTCAGCCAGTAATAAGACTGGTAAAGAGGGAAGGTTGGGCATGAGGCCAGCAACCCCATCCCGTAAAAATAGACACCACTGCTACCGAAACTTCAAGCCTCTAGCTTGAAGCCCTATGTTCCACTGAGTACGTGAAGGATTAATTAGAATGGTTGGGCGTTGTTTCATAAGGACAACTTACTGACGATCTATTGACTTGTGTTTCCAATTTTACCCTGGATCACTTCCCATTGGCTTTCTTTCAATTCTGTTGAATCGCAGCAAGATATCCTTTAATATTTTTAAAGCCAAAAAAATTGAAGACTTCTTTCGGGTTGATGAAATTCACAATTTGCGATCTACACAATTCAAGGGGTGAAGTATTCATCATAGTTTCCTTTGACAACCAAAATTATTCAGGTCACAGTACCTGATGTGATCTCCTTTATACCAAATGTGGTAATCAATAACTCAGGGATATTTCCATAAAACAATATATACTACTGATTGACTGAGATAAGTAGTAGCATACCACTGATGTCAACCAGTTGTGCTTGCTAACCAGATCGAGGTGATCTAAACGCCGAACGGTCATTTCGCTCAAGTGGCTAGCCAGAAATTTGATGGTGTGAATTGATTCGGCTGTCTCAGTTGATTGGATGGAGGATTTCATCATGAGTTGACATCAGTTAGAGAACCACTGGAAAACCTACTGGGAGTACTGGACAGCTGTTTCGTCCTAGTTTGGGACTCTTCACAGTACGCACCCACTGCCAGGGTTCGAGCCCAGGACGTTCTGGTTACAAGGCTAGCGAGCTCGTAGACCATTAAGCCACTGGGACCCGGTCTAACGGCCAGAGCGTGAATTCTAACTTCTGCCAATTCAAACCGCGTACACGTCTGATGAGCTTGGCCCCTAACAGACGCAATGGCTGTCCGGGGTTTAGTTCACTTCGATCTGGTTAGCAAGCACTAGTGGTTGATATGAGTCCTACACAACTACTCATCTCAATCAGCCAGTAGTATATAGTTTCATCCATTTATATCATATCTTAATTCGATTGCCTAAAGATATTTTATTAGATGCTGTTCAGTTTGTGTAGTTTGTATTCATTTAGTTCAAATTCTGTTCAGTTAATATTAAGTCACTACATGAGGAAAGAGAAAAACAATGATAAATCTTTGTCTCATCGTGTTATTCATTGAATGGTCATGACTGGCAGTGGAATCCGTAATCCACATTTCATTCTGTTTGGGACTTGTAGGCTGGGTGTACCTGCAATTCCCAACGAGTGTTAGTGTTCCCACTAGGACTCGAACCCAGCATTCCATTGTTTTCAATGCTAAATCGTAATCTCATTTTTTGCATACAGCATATGTAACAACAGAAGACAAGGGTCAGGCAACAGATCATTTATTAAGAAAATCAACGCATATTTATATATTTTCATGTACATTATTATAGATTAGTTAAGCAAACAAACACAGTCTTCCGATTGGTTGTTTCTCACGTAAAGTTAATCTTTCATCTATTTGTGACTGTTTCTTGAATGTCAAATCCTCTATATGTTAACTGCATCCGCCTATGCAAAGTCTGCTCTGGTCGGTTTTGAATCAATCTTTGTTCACATTTTCTCACGACAAATCTTGGGAACGTAAATATTGACGTAAATTACTGTCTACCAATTTGGCTAGTAGACAGCTCTCACCACACATATGACACTTCGATTTCATTCTATTCTCTTCAGTCGTCTTTAGCTGGGTCCGCAATTACCCATATTGTCTCTTCTCTTCCTCACACGATCTCCTGCATGTCACCCTCGAATGCCCCACTCGTCTTTTCCGATCCACACTTCACTCCAGGGCCTGGCACGAGATTTCGTCGAACTTGCTCTGCAGCGTGTATCCGATCCATCTCCATTTTCTTCTACATATTTGTTAAGCAATAGATTCTTAATTGGTTCGTACCCAGAGTTTCTTGTTGTCAATTCTTGCCGGCTGACCATCTGATCTCCAGTGTGGAGCCAGCTGTTGGCCTGTTAGAAATGCACCAAGTTTCAAACCCATATAAAAGCAGAGATTGATTTAACATTGGTATTGAATAGAATCCGAATTGTGTTCTTTATGCTGCTGAGTGCAGTAGAATTCCAAACTGATTTCAGTGTGATAATAAAGGTCTGTTTTGCCTTTCCGATTGTGGCCAGTTTTGACATCCTCATCTATGCCCTCTGCCTGTAGTTGAAACGATGCTTCCTGGTAAGATAAGTGAAGGAAGTAACTTCTTTCAAGTGTACTTCGTTGATAGTGATTGGATGTTGTTGTTGTTGTTGGTTGGTTGGTAATTTTCATCCCCTCCGTCTTCTTTATGTTTACTCGAAGTCCTGTCTGTGCTGCTTCTTCAGACAGTTTTCGCCTGTTTATATAAATATAGTTTTCATTATAGCTTGAAACCAAACAGTATTTTTTGGTACAACTATGGAATTTTCAGCTTGTGATATCGGTAGCCCAAATTTCGCAGGCCGACCATTGATATCAGGTGTGCGTCGGCAGGGGATCGAACCCCGGTCCATGTCCATGGTCGGCGAGCATCCTAACCGCTATGGTATCGACGCACATAATAATAAATATTATTGAACTGCATTATGTTTATGGCATAACATGCCTTGATAATTCTTTGTACGTGTTATCCAGACACAGGAATTTTACAAGCGGAAGTGAGCTATTGATCAGATGCCTTTTTTTTTCTTCCTTCCTAAGCACAGTTTCTATGCTTAACATTTGATTGAAAATGTTTCACAAATATTTCAGCTTATTGAAAAGCCTTTTTGACATGGCGTTTTTTGTTAACGTTTATTTTTACTTTATTTTATTGGAAACGTGATACGAGTCACACGTATGTGTATCATTACTGTCTGTCTCTTAACAATACAAATAAAATAGTTGTATTTTCCACGAGTTATAATAACCAGTTTAAATAATTACTCTTATTTCTATTGTGTTCATTTTATATACCCATTCGTTTTTTTGTGAATTGAAATATAGATGAATTGAAATCAGATAACTGTAATGATAATAATCAGATCGCTGTCTCACAGACTACAGAGTCGTCTGTTGACAAAAAATGTCCACCAGAAGTTGCTGGTTATACAGATAAACTTTTAATGCATCGATTCAATCAACGTTCTGCTCTTAGTTATCCAGCTTCTGGACCTCTGGGTTCTGTTCCTGAAAATGATGTTATATCAGCTGCTAATGAATTATTGATAAATCAATCATCATCTCCTACGTATAGCTCAAATGGAGTAGTTGGTGGTGGTCGGCCTTCTCATTCAGTTGTTGTTGAAGGCAGTTCTACACGATTTCTATTCAATTCCGATGTTGATACAGCCTTAGAAGAAGTAGGTTTTTTTTCTTGTTTGTTGTTGTTTTTATTTCACAATGATTTTTTAAAAGTTCGCATTATCTGTGTCTCTCTGTAATAATTTATTTACTCAAATGCTGAATTAGGTGATTGACGTGTTAAGCACAGCTATTGAAGCTGGCTGACTTAGTTTCAACACAGAATTGCAGCAGTTGAAGTCGCCCCACACTCTATGTACCACACAAAGGTGGGAAAAGAAGAGAAAAAAGAGATTTAAACGAAATATAACAAGCGAAAATATGCCGGAGAAAGAATAGTAAGGTGAAAAAAGTATGTCGGTCTAGTGGACATGGGGATCACATTTACACCTTTGAGAACTATTTTGAGCTATATCACCAATAGTCTCCAGCTATTGGTTGTTATCATCTCGAGGGACCCCAACCAATCAACCTAAACCTACCTATGATCAAAGACAGCTGGCCAGGCTTTTCATATCTTCCACTTTCAATGGCCATGTCTCACAGACAACTATAAAGGAGGACAGAGCAAACTGCTGAGCAGTACATACGCCCTCTGGTCAACAGCCAGCCAGATATCACGTCTACTAAACCAGAGATGGCGTAAGTTGGCTGAAAAATGCCAATTGAGCATTCTATGTCCGTGCTGAGATCTCGTCAGCGATCGACCCACTGGCATTAGCTGATGCAGCTCCCCAGATAAGTGAAGTGGTCAACACGCCCCACCAGCCACTTCACTCACTATCTTTAAGCTACGAGTGAATCGATGTAGTCCAGTCAGTACTGGACAGTAGGAGCGAATCCCATGCCAAACATTTGAAGATTGCTTTTTGATGAAAGTGTTCAGAAGACTCTGCATATTGTAAGTCAACGAGACTATTATTCCCTGATGGTAACAAGTCAATCACTGAAGTTAGTTAGGGTTAAGTCCATTAGTACATCTATGGTGAAATTAAAGAGAAATGGGGACAGTGGGTATCCTCCTTAACGAACACCACTGGTTGTCAGATTGCAATTCTCCGCGTGCTCTTACCTGGCTAGCGGCTGTATGAGTTCGAGTAAAGTATCTTGATTAGTGCTATTTACTTTTTCAGTAGTCCCTTCACGACCAAACCATTGTCATAGTACCTCTCGTCCTACGGAATCGAATGCCGCTTTCACACCAAGAAATACGACGATTGTTGGTCGCTGGTTAGTGTGTTTCCCTCAAAAACCACTTAGTCTGTACATGGTTATTGAACCTAGGACTCTAGACACTACATTAGTCAAGCTAATTTAACTGATTACTTTTGAGCCTAGGTATAATTTTAGTTGAGATTTCTGAAGCAATGCAAATGTTGTTTCAAGTCGTCATTTATTATTTTGGTCAGTGTTTTGACTTAAGGGGGACGGGAGAATTTCGTCTCCACCTTTCTTATTTGGACTGTAATTCTTTTTCTTCTGTTCGGACTCAACCATTTAAATGTATTTATTTGTGCTTCAAATAAGCATTCACGACATTGAATAATATACCGTTGAAGTATCTGGAGAGACAGATATTTGTTTGAAAGTGTTGTGGTTAATTATTGTGACATAAACCTACTTCCTGTTATGATATAATCAATTAGAAGATACGAAATGATTACATCTGTGTAGATTGCTGGCTACGCTCTATGAGATGCTAGCAATCATTAATAAAGTTTTAGTGGAGTGGCTCATAATCATTTACAGTAATGCAGATCCACTCACTCTCTATCATCGAAATATCACTACTCTTCCTCTCATACATCTTAGCTTATCGTAGAAAAACTAAAACTATTCTGAAGAGATTCTCTACTATACTACTTAATTATTTTAAAGTAGTGTAAATTCTAGGTGTTATTTATTCTGATTTCATTTTCAATGCTGAAACGTATGAATAACTAAAATTAGCGCATAGCTGCGTTTGTTTTTGTATTATCTTCTTGTCGTTATGATTTTTGGCTAGTGAAAAATTCACCTGTCAATACTTCATTCATAGAGCTGTTTATACTTGTGCGTGTAAGCTGTCTGAATGCATAACCTGTTGATTAAAATCGAGTGACTAAGTTAATGGATTACAACTCCTATATTTCGTATTACAAATATGCCTACTGTTTATGTCTGTGGTTTCTTCTGAATGTAACTCCTTATTCTTATTTTTATTTCGTTAAGGTAATGCGTGGTCTAGCCTCGTTGGAGCAAGCGGACAGTCGTAATAGTGATTCGAGAACTTTGGAACGCAATCAAGAACTTACTCGTAAACTTTGTCTACCTAGTGCAAAACATGCTCCAGACTTGGTAATGGATCTTCCTGTAACATCAGACTCTCAAGCACAAAACAATGCATCAACAACTGGCGGTGGTTTTACGCACATAGAATCAGGTGACAGTTTTGCTGAACATTTCGCTGAACAAAATTTGGATACAATACGGAAGCGTTCTGATGTTCATGCATTACCATCTTCGCTGAACTCCACTCGTTTTCCCGCTGGTAGCACTAGTACTACAAGTTGTAGAGAATTAGGTAAAGTTGTTCTACGCAGTAAAACTAGTCATACAACAACAGCAACAGAAATCTCCAGAACTTCACCAGGATTATCAAAAGGCAGTCCTAGTGAAGAAGAGAAGAGTGATTCACCACAGGCGAGTAATAATAATGAGCTAACCAGTGGACCAAGACTTTCAATAGCTGCTCGTGTTGCAGCTTTTGAAGGGAATAAACCTGATTCACCTCGTTCTTCCATAACTTTCGCTCCGAAAATAGCTCCTAAACCGAAAAGAGGTTAACACTGTTTTCTTTTATCTTTATCCAATTTCATTTCAAGTCTTTAGCATTTATTGTCAGATAACTCGATTTTTACAGCTGACATGAAATGCTTCAGTGGATGTGTGTAACCAAAATGTGTTACACCTACCTACCTACCTACACACAGCCACACACACACACACACAGTTACCCCAAAACCACTATTCAGTCTTTGTTTCTCTCTCTCTCTTTTGATACACTTGTGTCCAGGTTAGACTATATATATTTACACAAAAACATTATTACATAGAGTGCTTCCTATTTCTTAAAATTTTGATAATTTTCTTCATTGTTATATGCATATATTTTATTATTATTTTTGAATGAAAGTAGTTCCCATAATATTGACACGCTAATTTTATCACAAATGGAATTCAGTAATAATATATACATATTTGTATTTTTAGCCTTTACACGTCAACTAATTCTGGAGTATAATAACACGTGAATTTACTTAACTTAATATTGTACATTGTTTTGAACGAGACGTTCTCATTTCTTTTTTTTCTTTCTTTGGTTCTTAAAAAAACAAAGAAAGAAAGACAACAACCCCAACAACACCTACCAGCATCTGTTTACTTTGATCTCAATATCTTTTATAATATAATGCATACGTACCACAGACTACCTTTTTATATTAACCTTACTCTGACGCACCTACCCATACACTACGAATATAGCTGTTTGGTCTACTTTTTTTCGTCTCTTCTTCTAATATAAGGTGTAAATGTGTATTGATACTCTTCTTAGAATCTCATTGCTTTGGGTTTCCTTTTTGGTTTTTGTTTTTTTCTACTGAACTTTGATCTCCTGTGTACTAATATATTAGCAAATATATTAAATTAATAATATGCGCATTAATTGTGAGTACATTGAGTGTTGTATTCACATTCTTCCTTGTCTTTACATCCACTCCTTTTTATCTTAGTATGACGGTTGTTTGTTCGATGGATGGATGGTTGATGAGTTGTATTCCTTCCTTCCTTCCTTTTAAATTCATAATATCCATTTTAAGAAAGAACTACTGTTGTTGTTGTAATGTAAAACTGTGACTATCCCGGTATTTTATTTTGATTCATCTAGTGTGTCTGATGAAAAAAAACTTTACTTGCTTAATTTGTCTTTTTATCAGACTGAATTTTAGACGATACTATTATTAGTATTACTAATTTGTTTCTATCCTATGAACGCTTGGTTTTTGTTTCTCAACATGACTACCCACGATCGATTGATTGATTGCATGTGAAAGTAAATTAGTGTTGTTCTTCTTCTATTTCCTGGTTTTGGTGAAAGAAGCAAATGTATCTTCATATATATATATATATATATATTACAAATGCCTTACATTCTTAATCATTTAGCATCTGTCTGTCTGTTTTCGACATAAAACTCTGCACATATGTGCGGCAGTTCAAGTCGCCACACTCCCTCCATGTAGCACACAAAGAAAGAGAAGAAAGTAGGAGAAATGCATAATAATATAGACAGTAAACAGAGGTGTGAGACAAAGGAATAGTAATAACGAAGAACAAAACAGTTTCATTGGAAATCATAAGTCACAAGGAGTGGATGCATCTGCGCCAGCCATTGAGAACGATTTTGAGCCATGTCACCAATTGTTTCCAACCATTGGTTTTCGCCGTCCTGAGGACCCCAGCCAGGAAGTCTACACCTTCCTACGTGGCTTAGACTAACTGTTGTAGATTTCATTGACTGGTGCCATGTTTTCGTTTGACCACCACTAGCTCTTTTCCAGCCTGACCCTATATCAGCTAACATTGCCCGTAGGTCGAGGAAGGCGATGACTGGGCATACGTGACACATGTCTTAACAATCTCAGTCGATGTAATTTCACAACCTCGTCGATTGATTTCCCCTCCTTGCCCAGCACTCGACGCCTAACCTCGATATTGCTCACCTTGTTATACCACTTCACACGGGAGATAGAGCGCAGGCACCTATGATCAAAGACAGCTAATCTTTTCATGTCTTCTGCTCTCAATGGCCAGGTCTCACAGCCATAAAGGAGGACGGAGCGGACTGATGAGCAGTACACACGCCCTTTGGTCGATAGTCGGATGTCACGTCTACGCCAGAGACGGCGTAAACTGGCATATGCGAAACTAGCCCTCTGTATTCGTGCTGAGATTTCGTCGGAGATCAACCCGTTGGGGCTGATGGTACTTTCCAAATAGGTGAAGCGGTCAACGTGCTCTATCACTTCACTCCCTATTTCTAAGCTAGGGGTCGATGAAGTCCAATCTTGCAGCATCATCTTACATTTTACAGGGGCGAATCGCATGCCAAACATACGAAGATTGCTGCTCAAGGTGTTTAGAAGACTCTGCATTTTGTCAGCGTCCTTGCCTAGAAGGACTATATTGTCTGCATATTCTAAGTCAACGAGATTATTCCCTGGTAGCAAGTCGATCCCTGATTCGCTGAAGTGTGTTAGGGTTAAGTCCATTAGTACGTCTATGATGAAGTTCAATAGAAATGGGGATAATGGGCATCCTTGACGGACGCCACTAGTCGTCACCACTGCATATGACAACTCTCCGTAAGCCCTCACCTGGCTGCATGAGTACGAGTAGAGTGCCTTAATCAGTGCAATGTATAATCATTTAGTATACAACACAGTGTTTATTCACTTTTGAACGTGAGTTGGGGTTGGGTTCAGACTATCATGAAACAGGTTATTTTTTTACCCTACAACATTAATTAATCAGTGAAGTACAATATGGCTGTTGTCATGGCAATCCTGTTTAGTACGAGAATAACTGCAGGTTCAAGCAATTAGTAATATGCGCTTGGTCGAAAGGCCAATACTGAGAAGCTACCACCATCTAAGGGATTAATACTACTGAATAATTCAAAGCCTGAATACCATCCATATATTCGCAAAGTTGATGCCTTCCTTATCTGAAATGTGTCTGGATAAGCTCTAACGTGTTCATTTTGGTGTCTAGACTGGTTCATGTTCTCACTTATTAATTGTGTGAGACACCTCTATTGTAACACGAATGCTTAAAAACTGTAGTGAGTATACCTATCCCCGCTGGTGTTCATTAAAACACAAAAGATCGATGGACACTGAATGATTTCAGAACTAGCGGAAAGTGAAAGTATTCTCTTTATTTTGTAGATTCGAAAATGTTTTTACTTGACGTTTGGGTAATATTTTAACAAAATAATTGAATTAGTCTGAAAATGCAGCGTAACCGCAATATATAGTAGATATGTCAAGGATCTAACAATATTGCTAACACTGTTTTGGGAGAAGTACAAATGACATTCAAAATACATAGGGTACTCTTTTGTACAAGGTTTTCTCTCACTAAATCCTTTAGTAGGTAGTCATATTTCTATTCTGAAGGTTATGCATAATTATTATATATGGTATATTTAAAAAGTATTTGATTATCAGTAGATGCCTATGATATTTGTATTAGAATAGCCTAACACCAACTAGGTTCAATTTACATAGATATATTCCTGGTCATAGGGCTTATTGACTGCCGATCTGAATAACAGTACTTGTTTTAACTCAAAACTAATAATTCTACACTTTACTTAATAGTAGAAATTTGTGAAAATGACATCTACGTCTACTTTAGTTTCAACAACAAAATATACAGGCAAGTAGATGGAGTAGCAGTGGGTTCTCCTCTAGGACCCCTCCTGGCCGACTGCTTTATGGCTAGCCTAGAAAACAACTTCTTACCATCAACCATGAACGACCTCCATCTTTACAAGAGATGCATCGATGGTACTTTCATTATTTGTGATCTAAAAAACCTAATTCAAATCTTCAATAACGCCCCCTCCCCCAAACATCGACTTTACCCTGGAAATTGAGTCTAACTCAATGTTTCATTTCCTCGACGTTCAACTACGAATGAATGCAGACAACTCGCTAAGAAGATCCATCTACACATGGAACGGACAGTTTATCAACTTTCAAAGTTGTGTGCCTCTAAGTAGAAAGAGAAACCTAACACAATCTTTCCTCGAGGATCCGGAAGATTTACACTGAAGAGTCAATCGACGAAGAATTGCAAAGTCTCCGAGAGACCTTGACAGAAAATGGATTCCCACCCAGATTCATAGACAAGAATCTAAAACCAAGGAAAACACCTCGAAAGGTCCAAGTCGCCCCCAAAAGATGCTGATATTGAACCTCGAATTTAAAAGTGATACCGAAGCAGAAATTCTCCTTAGACGGCATTCGAAGTCTCGCAGTAAAACATACTTCTCCACCAGCCTGCGAATAGCACTCTCCTACAAGAAACTACTCACCCAGCACGTGAAAGACAAGCTGTCGCATTGGGCCACTTCAACATGTATATACAGGTTCACTTGCTCGTGTGGAGCTGAATACAATGGCCATGACATGCGTCCGCTCGTAAATCGCGGGTGGGAACACTATTCAGCATGGTTTGCAAAAGGAGAACACAAAGGGGTATACAGTCAGATAACAGAACACCTGTTGAATTCTGGACATTCAACTCCATTTGAAAAGTCCTTTAATGCCATATACAAGATCCTATCTATCCTACCAAAGGGAGTGAAATCAAGACGTCTAGGAATAGCTGAGACACTGTGTCCAAAATAGCATTACTTACAGTGCATTGTCAAGTTATCTCTAAAATTTGGGGATAGAGCAAAATATCACTATCCATGCACTTTATGCAGTTCAATTGTAAACCAATGATTAAGGTATAGGAGTTACGGAAGCAAAAATCTGCAAAGGAACATAGTCACTTTCTAGTATCAGTTTGAAAGACGACAATTAAATCATTACAACCGAGCTAAGTTTTACAGTTACCCAACTTGGTACAACATTTGGATATATAATAACGCATTCACCTGCCTAGTTAATCAACGGTAGGGGCTTCGTTACAGTATATAATCACATGCTACGTATAATGATGACGATGAGATATTTGTTGGTAGAGACAACACAGTGGTGTTAACTGCTAAGGAGATCTGGCTGGCTAGTGAAACAACCCTACATAATATTTCGTTACTTTGACCGAGGTACCTAGCCTGTTTAAATGCTGTGATAGTGTCATCGTGACTTTCTGTAGCCAGATTTGCCAAGGGCGATGGTATAATTCGCGACCTAATGGTTGTGTGCAAAGTTTGTAGAGGGTTGCATTCTATATGCATACACCTTGCCTGAATGATGTTTACACCCTTTCACACACTGTTTTTGAAAGAGCCGGTTTACCTTTGCAGAAAATTTTGAAACTTTCTATTCATTACAGGTATTTCTTAAGAAGTAGTGAACTTTCAGACAATCATGTATGCACAAAAAGGCATTTATTTAATGTAGACAACATCCATTCAGCGTTATAGAGGAATAATTAATACTACTCTTTGTGTCATTGAGAAAGCGTTTACATTTTATTACAGTATTGTATAAGACTAATTCTTTGCATAAAAATAAAATGGCAATATTAACTTTGTACATGACCGGTTTTTTACAATTTTGATGTCAGTAAATTTGCTCAATTGTAAACAAACATAAAACGGTAACAGAAAGTTAAATAAAATATATTAACAAATATTCTGTACATAGGGTGCTCTTAAGGTGAGTCGTCGACATCAGTATCCGACGTCATAACAACATATTCACGTGAAGAAAAACCAAATTTAATCACATCTTTCTCTAGGAGTTCATAATAACGTCGCGATTCTATTCTGTTATTGTTCAGGTAAGTTCCATTCGCTGAGTCTAAGTCGATGACATACAAACGAATTGCTCCACGAACCTTTTAGGAAGAAATCGGCATACATTAGCATTTATGAGACAACTATTCTGTCATACAAATGAAATATTTAACAAAAGATTGTAACGTTTTCTTATATAAGAAACTTTCATTTGAACAAATAACAGTTTCAGGTCTGATGATAAGTTGACATCAGTTAGAGGATCATTGGAAAACGTGAGGGTACTGGTTCTACACAGGAAGTTACCTGCAGTTCTATAGAGAAGTCTTAACCAGCCGGGTCAACCAAGTTAGGTGAAAGACCAGGTACTCGCCTATCACATCGGCTGGCGGTTTGTGCTACATTAATCGTGAATAGGCAGAAGTTGGAATTTATAGGTCATTGGATTGGACTCCAGTGGCTTAACGGTCTAAGAGGTTGCCTTATAATCGGAAGGTTCGGTGTTCGAACTTCGGTGGGTGTACACTGGTCGTGAGTCCCGAACTAGGATGAAACAGCTGTCCAGTACTCTCAGATTCTCCACTGATTCTCTAAGTGATGTCAACTCGCGACCGGTCAAATCCCTGCAACCCAATACTTCATATATAACAGTTTACCAACATCATTAAATAACTCCTTTGTTTGTCAGTGGCACAGAGGTTAGGAAGCTCGCCGATTATGCACATAGTTCGGGGTTCGATCCCCGGCCGATGTACACCTGATATCAATGGTTGGCCTGCTGAATTTGGGCTACGGACATCACATGCCGAAAATTCCATAGTTGTACTAAAAATACCATGTGGAGTTAAGCCATAATAAAATAAATAAATATTTGATAAATAGTACAGTGATTTTATCGAATCACTTGTCTACATACAGACTGTCAGTGAATTAAAACAGCTACGCTAAATGGTATATGAATTAGATTACAGGCCGATCAACAACTTTTGAATGAACCCCTTAAGTTATACTAGTATTTCTAATGTTCATAAGCTTAACAAAAACAGAAGTGAAAGAAAAGAGTAGTGGAACAGCTTTAAAGTTTTTAAAAGTGAAATGATGCTAATATGAACTTTCCATTTGGAGGTAGTGGCAGTCCTGATTATTATTCTACTTTGAAGTAGTTTTATTGTATGTAGAATTCAGTTTCACCCATGGATATGTGGCTCAAGTACTCGACTTTCAATCAATGGTTCCGGAATTAGAGGTCTCACATAAGGTGATTCTTGCTTTGAAAGCACTGAGAATTATTAGCAATACTGTATATCTCCGAATCTCACTACGACAGTTGTGAAAAAATTCTAATTTTTTTTCCTTTCATCATAGTGATTTGAATATAATTATGAAATGAACTAACCGAGAGAAATACTATATGTCTAAGGAAACAAAAGTTCCTTTTACTATCAATATACATTGGTTTACCTCTACAGTCAACATTTTTCAGTTTAAAAGAATAATATGGATAGTTATCTCACTTTCTAACTATTCCTGTTTCAGTGAGATTGCCAGTATATCATTTACACTTTCACAAAAAGGGAAAACAAACTTTATGATAAAATCTCTTTAATAAGTATTAAAAGAAATTACAACTTACAAATCTGTACTGTAAAACAGCGTGTTGCTTGGATATACTTGGATGATCCATAGGAATGTCTGCTATTTTTCTATCACGACCAATTAGGAATCCACTTTGTCTGTGTATATGTAAAATAGGTAGGGTCTGGTTCCCTTTAAAAGCATATAACCTCCAGTGTGTAGTTGGTTTCCTAGCATCTTCTGGTTCATTATATTTTATCACAACACCTTTAAATACATTTGTGTCTTCCGCAAGCTTCCCTTAAAAGTTAAAATAAAAACACACATGACAAGTGCATGATCTAATTTATTCATGCAAGAATCGACGAATGCACACGAGAAACAGTCAATCAAATACACAAGGGATGACTGACTGTACACTTTATGCAAGATGTTAAACTGAAATGTAATAAACATAAAGACAAAAACTGAAAGTATTATGCCGAACAAAGCATGCCTCTTGCGTCTTTAGCCAGAATATTACTGCCTTTCAAGACTCATGTTCATATGTCTCATGCTTCGTATAGAAGAGAAACATAAGACAATAATTAAGCTTGAGTGAATTAAAAACTCAGTCTTAGAATTCTGAATAAAACACCCAGTCTTTAGTTAAAAACCAGAACATTGACTTGTTAACAGAGCCAGAGAGAGAGAGAGAGAGAAAAAAAAAGAAAGACATATGGTGCAACAATTTATACTTCCAACCGCTTATAGATGTAAGTAGCGTGTATTTTAACGATAAAATGCCGACATCTTACTTCCGGAGATACTAGGTAAATAAAAGCTTTAAAAAGTTTATAATTTACCTCATCGTATAATAAATAATCACTTATTTTTCTAACAGCGGCATACTTAACATCAACTTAAAATAATTAACTAAAGTTTATTTGGTCAATATCTTCAGGAACCCGATGACCATTGTAAAGCACTATTCGTTACTGAAGTTTAGCCTGTGTGGCACAAAGCCTACAATAAACTGATTTTATCATAACTTTAAGCCGCCAATTTTGCCGTGAAACCATATGACACCTTAGGGCCGTGAGGTTTGTGCTTTTATGATTGGTTGGTTTCAACGTACAACTTTGCAGAGACGTGCATCAGTTCGAGTTGTCCACTCCACAGAGCACACGAAGCAAGTGAAGAGAGTAAAGAGAGATTCAAATGAGAGATCATGAACAGAAGTGTGAGGTAAAAAGAATAGTAAAATGGAAGAACAGTAGTTTTATTGGATTTGATAAATCATAAAGAGTGAATGCATCTGCACCAGTCATTGAGAACGATTTCCAGCCATTGGTTCGTACCATCCCAAGAACCCCAACCAGAAGGCCAGTCTACACCTCCCTACGTGGTTGGTTGATTTAAAATAACTGTTGTGAATCACATTGACTAATGCCATGTTTTCGTTTGACCACCACTAGCTAACTCTTTTCCAACCTGATTCATCCTATGTCAGCTAACACTGATCGTCGAGGAAGGCGATAGCTAGACATGTGTAACACATCTCCTAACCATCTCAATCGATGTAACTTCACAATCTCGTCGATTGATTCCCCCTCCCACTTACCTAGCACTCGACTAATGCCTCACCTCAACATTGCTCACCTTATTATACCACCGCCTCACACGGGAGATAGAACGCAGGCACCAATGATCAAAGACAGCTAGCCAGCTTTTTCATGTCTTCCACTGTCAATGGCCATGTGTCGCAGCTAGCTATAAAGGAGGACGGAGTGAACTACTGGGCAGTACACACTTCCTTTGATAGATAGCCAGTCGGATATCACGTCTATGCCAGAGATTGCGTAAGTTGACGGGTAAATGCCAAACGAGCCTTCTGTATCCGAGCTAAGATTTCGTCAGCGATCAATCCACTGGCAATGACTAATGTAACTTCCCAAATAGGCGAAGTGGTCAACACACCCCACCCACCACTTCACTCCCTATCTTCAAGCTAGGAGTCAGTCAATGTAGTCCAGTCAGTCCTGTAGCATCATCTTACATTTTATAGTAGGACCGGATCGCTTGCTAAACATCCGAAGATTGCTTTTTGATCAAGGTGTTCAGGAGACTCTACATATTGTCAGCGTCTTCATCCTACCTAGGAGCAGGACTATATCATCTGCATATTCTGAGTCAACGAGACTATTATTCCCTGATGGTAACAAGTCAATGTCTGAGTTGCTGAAGTCAGTTAGGGTTAAGTCCATTAGTAAATCTATGATGAAATTAAAGAGAAATGGGGACAGTGAGGATCCCCCTGATGGACACCACTTCAGTTGAACTGGCTTTTAGTTTTGGTTCTGTATTATTAACTCACCGACGGCTACGGACCACCGTACGGTAAATTGGGATGTGCAATCTTTAGGACTGACCTTTTCTAACCACCTGTCTCCAAAGTGGAGAGACAGCATAGCTGGCATGCGGGTCATCTGATGGAAACGCTTTACTGCTGTTACATCCCTATTCCCCAACAGTACGACTTTTCCCACATACTCCAGCATAGCATAAAAACCTTACACAATGCTGGTAACCTCTTTTAGTTTAATCGCTATCCTAACAATCTTCCTGGCATGGTAAGACTTGCAGGAACATTAATTCCAGCCAGTGTAGCTTGTTGGGTTATTGCGATATGCAAGGCCAGCCACCACATAATGGTAGCAGCCATCGGTAAAACTTACGTGTGACGTTTTTCAAGCAACTATCGTGCATACATCTGGCTTTGTGCTGACCCACTAGGCTTGCACTCGGAATGCAATGTCTAACAATTAGTTCTACAGACTCATGAAACAGATGTGTGAGATTTCTGGTGGAGCATACAGCAAAAGTATGGATGAGCACTGCAGTCAATTGTGTGAGCTGGACACTGGGTCAGATGGGTGACTACCGCCAGTTTTATTGTACATCAAAATAGATTTCTGACTACAAGTTGCATCTTAAGGTATCCGGTCACTTGCAGAAGACCTGATCGCATTGCGTACTTACGTTGGTTCTCGGTACTGCTAATTTGCCCAAAATGCACAAATGAATGCTAAATATCATTTTGCTCCATAGAGTGAAAGGTCCATTATCGTAGAAGTCGAGTTGTGCTCAAAACTAAACTTGAAGCATCACCGTCTTCGCAGAACTGCTTCTATCCAGTGGCAACATTCGGTAGAGCTTAACAGTTCTCAAGAACGAAAAAAACCAGGTCTTAAAACATTATTTTTGGAGGCTTAGTCATTTTCTTTTCTAGGAGTTTATACACGAGCTGCGGACCAATACTGCTCGACAGAAAAATAAAACTAGCCAGGCACAATTTCACCAGGGATATATCGCTATGCATATTAGTAGAGACGTCTAAATCAAGAGAAGACTAACGTAACCAATTAGTTCCACTAATTTCTAACATCAGCTAAATGGAACTACTAGCAGCGTTCAAAAAACATTTTCTACCAGTTTGATTATTCAACGTCTTTACAACATTTTGTCATCAGACAAACAGCTGCCCGATGTCTGGATCACACTGATCTGGCTAACGGTTGACGTCAGTGGTTTCCAAGTACTTATATCAATCAGTTTTATTTACCACCATAAAATTATATTTCTTATTTTGATTGCCATCCGTGTTACCGACCAGATCACATAGTATTTTGAATAATTTCGGTTTTCAAAAGGGATCCGTGGTGAATTTCCCCATTGAAGTGCGTAGTTTTCGGATTTGACTGCATATTTACAAGCTGAAAATCAAATACTTCAACTAATATATGGTATTAAACTGGGCAGTGTATACAAATAGTGCATGCAATTTGATTCGTTTTTTAAGTATCCCACTAGCGAAATCATGTATCGTCTGCTTTAACTTAAGTAAGGCAGTATGAAATCTTATAACAAGTGTGGTGAAGCAAGGGGGGTACATTGGAGCAAAACGTACATGAGCTGACCATATATATATATATATATATACGCAAATAAAGACTATTTTGGATACTTTCCCGCGACGGATTTATCATTTCGACGTAAACATACCTCTGCGGCTGCATTTCGCAAGACTCAAAAACAGAAATCACTACAATACACTATGCTTCTAAACATTACGTGGAAGCAGTAATATCCGTTGCATCCCCTATATTAGGAATCGAATTATTCAAATCTGCTGTGAGCAGTCATTTCGCCTTACAAATGAGAAATTATGTACAACTAACTTTTTCAGCTAAGAAATTTAAAGCTGTTTGTCGGGTGAGTTACAATTGCAACAAAAGGTCAAACAATTACCGAAGTGAAAAGAAGGCTGTTAGGAAGCTTCGGTAACATTCCCGTATTAACGTCTTACACACTATTATGCAACTCGTTATGAAAAAGTGAGGAAACATACCTGATAATTCAAAATTTGCCTTTTGCTTTGCAATCGGGGCTGAAGTTTTGTCCAGAAGTCCACTTCTTCCGAGATTTGGTTGGGCGTCACTGATTTCATCATCCTTGAGAATTACAGGAGAGCTGACACGGCCACGCCGGGGAGGTGTATCTTCTTTTATTATTACTGGGTTGCTTAATCGATGTCTAGGAGGAGGGCTGTAAGAGTCTTTAGGTTCTTCTTTGATATGTATATGTTTTATTTCATCATGATGATCACGCTTTTTGTCACTATAGGATCGAGGAAGTTTGGTAGGGCGCAGAAATTCTTCATCTTTTATTTTATCTTCTTTGAATTTGTGCTTGTGTTTATGTTTACTTTTAGACTTCTTGTCATGATGCGACCTCTCATCAGAAGAGGACTCCCCCATTGGCCAATTATGAAGGTCAAATCCAACTTCGCCGCTGAGTCCTGTAATCCTTACAATGTCCAACATCTTCTTTGATGAACCTACGTACGCCAATTTCCTTTACATCACTTTATTCTTTGCGTTGACGAACGTATTCGGATTACTTACGAAGTTTTATCCTTTACATTTAGCCAACTAATTGCTCTGGATCTAAAATTAAATAGAATTCCATAAAATGCTCATAATTTTCATTTGGATCTTAGAAAATGAGTCCATCTTATTTCGTAAGTCTTGTATGTTCTTTCGGAACTTATTCAGTTTTTTAGTCTAACTATTGGGTCATCCAGTCTATTTGTGACAATCTTGTGAGCACTTAACTTGCTGTCTATCAGTTTCCATGAGAGCTGTCAATATTCTTCCTACAGTGTACCTCTATTCACTTCTGATTATAATATAATCGATGTCATATTCGCAAATGACCACCATACAACTGGTGTTTTGATTGCACTAAATCTCGCAAGTTATTTATGGCACAGTGGAAAGCCTGTGTCTGTAGATCTGCTCTAGAGGAGTCAGTTCGACACTCGGTCTTTTTACAGGTGAGTAATACAGTTAAGTCAAGTGATGGTAGGGCACTATCCAACATATTGATAAGTAAAATAATCAGATTTAATGGAGTAGCCACTTCTCTGACCGAAGATAAGAGACTTAGTAAGTTAGTTAACCCCTAAATATTAAAAAACTTTTGCCCGTTTGTTCTATTTTGAAAATTCCGGATAAAGGCACATGCACCACTAGAAATACAGAGGCGCTCGTGAGAATCGGTATGACACAGGTTTTTACGTAGTGACTTACTATAACTCCGAGGTTAGTATAAATCTGAGATGGAGCGAGAGGTATCGCCTCGATATCAAACACACCGACGCTTACGTATTGACAAGTAGTAGTTCACAGTTGTTCCTGTGTGACGTAGAGGCTAGACAGTGCTATTCCGCTTTCTACTAACATCTCAAGATAACCATTCGGTTTCAAACTGACGCTGAAAGCATCACCGTTGTCCTAGTTGTGTTGGTCGGTCTTTGAATTATATCCATACTAAGTCCTTGTGCTACTCCGAGTTCTCTGCATCAGTTGTTTATTACTGTAAGAGTTTTTACACAGCCACTATGGTGAAAAACTGATGCTACAGTTATGTGCTGTCTGAATTGGACTATGGTCCAAAGGGATAGTTGAATAAATTGCTTCAGGGCCACATTATCTAGAAATACCGTTGACAGTTAATTCGTTGGTATCCATTTGCTGTAGACTTACCAGTTGCCCATACATGCTGTTCACCCTACTTCGTTGAGTAAGATGTCTAGTTCAGTAAACGGATGGAATAAGCAAATATATGGGAATCTTCAACGAAATCCTTTTTTATGTAAACGCCGATTCTCAGTAGCACTTTTATTCCTCTTCAGGAAACAAAGGTAAACAAAACGACTGATGGAGACTATATGTCTGACGCTTAATCGATCTCAAAAGTTCACGTATGATGTAACCATGAATTCTGACGTTAGTTTTGCATACTATTAACCAAGGGCAATGGCATACGTCTCTCACTCGATAGTTTACCTTTAAAACAACTTATTCGAAGTTCCTTTTTTCCTTCTAAGAATCACAGAACAAGACCTAGAAAGACAAATGACACATCTGGAGCTCACAGACAGCGTGAAAACAAAAAAACGTTTTACCAGTAAGCGACATAAAAGTCGTATAAGAACGGCACTTTTACTGGAATAAGTTGAAGTTCATGGATAAACTTTTGTAACAATCGATACGATTAAAAACCGACACTAACTCAAACCTCTTTCAAAGTTTGCACGTTGTAGGCTTATTTTCTTTAAATTGTACTTTCAGACAATCTGGAACTTCCAGAATGATTTTTTGAGTTTTCGACTTATCGAAATAAGAACATGTGGCAGGTTGAAGCTAGTTGAGATACAAAATGGGTCCTTGTAACAGTGTAGAGTATGGAAACTCCGTGATTATGGCTATTGAAGGTCTGTGTATAAGTAGCTGCAAACCCCCGTTGTTTCATCCAAAGAAGATGTTTACTGCCTTAGCTTTCAAGACATACATAACCAAGTATTTAAATTTCGTCTTCGTTTTTTCTTTCTGCAGTACTTTGAACAAAGCTACGAGTCAGTTTTGTTGTTTTTGGTGTTCTTCTCTGAAATCTACTTGTTTTGATTATACCTTATTTTCAGTTAATTCCTACACTATGTGGTGCAAAGTTTGCGTCACAGGTACCTTTATCACATTGCCAAAGTCATTTTAATATGACTCAGTGATGAGAAACTTTTATATTCCTACCTAGCCTTAGGGATCCTTACGTGTATAACAGTAGTCAAGAATTTCGTAGTCACATCACAAATTTTCCTCTGCCTATTTCACAACTAAATGCATCCATGTTAACTAGAAATAACACGATTTCTAATTTTTTAAATTTTGATTAAAGCTTGATTCCACACAGTACTTTTGGTATAGGCTTGAATTTTTGAGCATGTGATATCTGTAGCCCAAGTTTTGCAGGCCGACCGTTGATATTAGGTGTGCGTCGGCAGGGGATAGAACCCCGGACCATGTCCATGGTCGGCAAGCGTCCTAACCTCCGTGCCACCAACGTACACTGACTCGTTTAAAATGTTGCGGAACTAAATAGGCTTCGCACACTTAGTGCACGTCAACATTCTGATTAATGTGGATGCCTGCATGAACTCTTCCTGCTTAAAAAGTCTACCAAACTAGTGGATTCCTGTACTGCCAATGCATTTACAGTCTACTGTTTCTGGCCAGCTACCTGCAATCATTGATCACTTTTTAGAGACTGACGGTATTGATGTTCATGGATAGTACGAAGTATACTAACGCAAGATCTAATACCAACAACTTCTATATTATCCGTTCCACGTAGACCAAAGGCAAAGCAAAACACGATAGTTGATCGTACAGATTATTATTATTGTTCCCTTGGGTTCCTAGTGGAACATAGGGCTTCAACTGCACGTCTCCACTTGCTTCTGTCTTCTGCTGTACTTTTCACTTGCATCCATGTTAATCCATACTGTTCCAACTCTTCTTCACATGATCTCCTCCATGTCACCCTTGAACGTCCCACTCACCGCTTCCCTTTCAGGTTCCACTCGAGCTATGGCCTGACGTGCGATGTCACCCAACGGCCTCCTCAGCGAGTATCCAATCCATCTCCACTATCTCCTGCATATTTGTTGGGCGATTGGTTCTTGTTTTGTTTGTTCCCATAGTTTCTTGTTGGCGATTCTTTACGGCCATCTGATCTTCAGTATAGAACGAACACAGCTGTTGATAAAGGTTTGCAACAGGCTGTTGGAAATATTCTTTGTGACCCGCCAAGTTTCTGATCCATCCGTATAGAAGAACTGACTTGACGTTTGTATTGAAAATCCGAATTTTGTTGTTGATGCAGGCTGAGTGACGAAGATTTCCAAATTGGTTTCAGGTTGATGAATGTGTTTCTCGCCTTCCCGATTCTCGATTTGACATCCTAGTCCGTTCCTCCTGTAGTTGAGACAATGCTCCCTAGATAAGTGAAAGAACTAAATTCTTTCAAATCCCTCCCGTTGATGGTGATTGGCGCTGGATTTCGCTACTGTTGTTGTTGCTGGTTGGTTATTTTCATAACCTCCGTCTTGTCTATGTTCACCTGGAGTCCTGTCTCCGCTGCTTCTTCGACCAGTTTGTCGGTTTTCGCTTGTAAGTCTTCGATTTTGTGTGACATCAAACATAAATCATCCGCAAAATCCAGGTCTTCTAGGTTCTTCACGTCGGTCCAGGATATCCCTGTCTTCTCGTTTCCCACTGTCTGACGCATAATCCAGTCCACCACAATTAGGAATATCATTGGTGATAATAAGCACCCTTGTCTGACTCCTGTGTTTACTCCAAAAGCCTCGCTGAGTTTTCCGTTGTAGATCACTTGACATGTGCCGTTGTCGTACAGTTGTTGAATAAGGTTGATGAATATTTGGGGTACGCCGTAGCACTCGAGTAGTTTCCAAATTACTTCGCGGTCAACGCTGTCGAAGGCCTTCTCAGAGTCTATGAAGTTGAGGTAGAGATTTGATTGCCCTTCCGTGCTTTGTTCGATGATATTGCGTAGAGCTGCAATTTGGTCAGAACATGATTTACCTTTCCTGAATCCAGCTTGTTCTGGTCGGAGTTCTGTGTCCAGTGCGTCCTTGATTCTCTCCAGGATGATACGACTCAGGATTTTACTTGGCGTCGACAGGAGCATGATTCCTCGCCAGTTCTTGCAGAGTCCTAGGTTGCCCTTCTTTGGTAGTTTCACGAGGTAACCTTTCCTCCAGTAAGTAGGCACCTTTCCTTCTTTCCATATCTTTTGCAGTAATTGAGTCAGCGTATCTGCTGTCGTCTCTGGGTCCACTTTCATTGCTTCCGGGGGTATTCCATCTGGTCCAGCTGCTTTTCCAGCCTTCAGAAGCTTGATTACATTCATGACTTCAGTTTCCGTTGGAGGGTTGGTGTCAACTTGCAGTTGTGTACGTGCTGTTGTTGGTATTTCTGGACGGGTTGTAGGTGGTGGTCTGTTCAAGAGTCCTTTGAAATGGTCCGCCCATTGTTTAATCTGTCTTTCTCCTTTGATACTTGGGTTCCCTTGGCTGTCTTTTATAGGTTTCACTTGTGTTGATCTCTTCCCGGATAGAGACTTGGTTATCTGATATAGTGTCCTCAGGTCCCTTTTGCCTGCTGCCTTCTCAGCTTCAGTAGCCAGGTTGTCGTAGAATTGTCTTTTGTCCTTCCTGGCACTCTTCTTCACTTCTTTGTCCAGTGCTGTGTAAGTTGAGCTCAGCGTCTCTTTCTCTTGTCCATCTTTGCATTGAATCATTTTCTCTTTCACCATTCTCCTCTCCTCTATTCGCTTCCAAGTGTTTGTTGAGAGCTATTGCTTGTCTTGTTTCTTCTTTCTTCCTAAGACCGTTGAACACGTTTCGCTGAAAATTACCTTCAGAGAGTTCCAATGGTC